CTTCCTCCCTTCTTTTCTTCTTTCGCCATTTCGCATATTAGCGCGTGTTAACTTCGTAAGTTGATTGTTCAACGAGTGTTCTGTATTCTATTAACGATGGGTAATTGCTAATTATGGTAATTAGCAAATTGTAACGCGTGTTGCGGTCTCGAGGGTAGACATGATGGCGGAACGGCGATTATGGACCTGTGTCGAAACGGACAACAAGATTAACGTTTTAAAGAAAATTATAGGTAGTTTTAATGTACGAGACATTTGAAGATAAAACAAACAATTACGTTTCTAGTAAACTTTTGAATTTTTAATCTCATTAAAAAATACGTATAATTATATTATACTATATACTAATTATTTTAATTGATTATATTATATTATTTAATAATCATGATATATTTTCAATATACATATATCTAATTATATGTAATTATATGTTGCAATATATCAGTCATAATATAATATGATTTTATTAAATGATGTAAAATAATTAGTGAGCTGGTCAGAATTAATATTCTGGATTAAATACTTTTTTCTGCTTACTAAGAAATATTGGAAACGATAAAATATATAATATTATAATTAGACAAATGTTTACGCGAAATAAGATTCGTATAAACACAATTATCTAAATGGAACAAATTTTCTAATGTGAAGTATCCTACATAGAGATAAAATAGAAGAGTTAAGGAATAAAATGGAACAGAAATATACGGAAAAAAGTGAATTTGCTTTGGTCAGCTACATTCACGGAAGCAGCCACTTGTAAAATAACAGCAGCATCTGTTCTTGCATCCCAGGTCCTTGATACGTATACCGAAGTGATGGAGATGAAGTGGAAAGAGATTTTTAAGATGAAAGCAAGAATGTCGTTCGTCTGTATTTTATTGCGACGATATTGTTGGCTGGAAATGATTCATCGACGATATCATCTACTTTGGTTTACGATGTATCTGAAAATGATCGTGTTAACGATATAACGAAGAGGCTCTTATTCGACTAGTTATCTTAAAAACATGGATTCTCAATCTGTACTTCCAATAATTTTTTACATCACAATTTTTAATTATATAAGAAATTCTATGCTATATCTCAATTCCTTTTCTTTTTTATAAACTTATTTAAAAAAACAATCTATGAATATTTCAATATATGAGTATTTTATACGATTAAATTGAAATTATTATTCATCCTGATATTGTTAAATTCATAATATCATAATATCATACATATTGATATTATGAAAGGTTATTGATTCTATGAAAGATTATGAAAGGTTATATTGATTTTATGAAAGGTTAACGTCACAAATTAATTATCCATTCCAAAAAAAAAAAAACGATAACTATCCATCATCACTCACCATCCTCCGATCTCGAATCAAAAAAAAAAAAAAAACTTTCCATCTTTCAATCGACTGCCATCAATTCAGTCATCGCCCATACATATCCAATCCTTCCTCTCGATTCATTCCTCCAAATAAAACTTGAAACCCTGCCAAAAACTCTCGAGCCATCCAATAACCGACACCTTCCACATCAAAAAGAATACCAATTTTTCTCCAACAATGCACGCATCGCCGCCTCCATCTTTCTCTCTTTCTCTCTCTCTCTCCATGTCTCTTCCGCGCGAAATTCTCCAAGCGTAATTTTCTCCGGCAGCGGCAGCTGGCCCCTTCGAAACGATCGTCTGTGCAGCAGTGGCCGCAATCGTTGGGAAGAGGCGCGATTACGCGAATCGAGATCCTTTGGAGGTGGCCAGAGGGGTGGTGGAGGGGAAGAAAGAGAGAGACAGAGAGAGAGAGAGGCGAAGGCAACGGCCGCGTATCGATCTGATGCGTGATGCTGGCGAGCAGAG